ATAAATAACTAACTAAGAATTTAGGAAGAAACTTGAGTCTCGGTAGACTCTTTTAAGAAAAGTTGCACACCACACAACAAGAGAAGGAAGAACTCCTCCTCTGAAAACCAAAAACTACCTCTATCCTCCTACGGAGCTTCTCTGGAGAGAAAACTAAAACTAAAAACTTCTCTTCCCAGACGGAAGAGAAGAAGAAAAACTGCCTCTGCAAATGTGCGGCTCTCCCACGAATAAAAACAAGCCAATTCGAAACTTCACTCCACGCTCACAAAAGAAAACATTCCTTCCATACCTAATCAATTCCACCGAAAACAAAAGCAAAACCAACTATGGTTTGTCGGTTTCCTTTGACCAAGTGCACACGTTCACAAATAAGAGAGCAAACCAAATATGTGTCTTTACACAATGGTCAAGTCTTCGCGGTCCCCACCTAATTGAGATGTTGGCCAGCCAAATGCAATTCAATTCCTTTTCATCATAGAAAGAAATGGACGTTGGTTTACACCATGCATATGGGCCAATTGCATAGAGTTTCACAATAATCTTCTCAAGAAGGTTTCTGCTCCACTTTCTGAAAGTATATCCAAATACCAAATATAAATATATATTGACAATTAAAGCAATATTTGGTAAGGATAAAGAGGAGAATTAACAATAAAATTACTAACAATTAACACCCTATCAAGGGTTTTCCTCTATTATAAGAATAGAGTACCCATTTTTCCATAAATAAATTTATTTATCGAATAAAATAAAAATAAACTCGTTTTCCAGTAAAACTTCAGCTCTTTATGGCTTTTCTCTATTATAAGAACAGAGTACCCATTTTTTCATAAACAAATTTATTTATCGGATAAAATAAAAATAAACCAATTCTCCAATAAAACACCAGCTCTTTATGGCTTTTCTCCATAAATTATCCATTTTCCCATTTTTCCATAAGCTAATTTAGGGGAGGTTTATGAAATTATCCCTTATAATATATATGTGTATATAATATTAATAAATTAGATAATTATAATTATAATTATTATTATGAATATAAGTTTATATAATGATTAGATTTAATATCTAATATACATTATAATTATATAAAATATTAGTATAAGTAATATTTATATGTATTATATAATTATAATTATATATTTATAATTGAAAGAGGGGGTTTACTCTCAGAGAAATTTGCAGTAGGAGCTTAGTCATGAAAATTTGCAGAGGAAGTTGTTGAAGTGAAAGAAAAAGGGAAAGTGAAGACAACGTCATTTTTCACCTGATTTTGTTTCAGATAGCCACATTTACTTAACGGTCCGTTAAAGGTTGGCTAATTTGCCGTTTGAGGATGACATTTGGTCAAAAATTGTTAATTCAGACACCAAATGTGTCATGTCGAAAGATGAGGGACGAAATGTGTCTTGTCTCTAAAGTTTGAGGTTGAAAACCGATATTTTCCCATAATGTGTATGTCTTTCAGGTGCATCCCGATGTAAAGTTCTACCTTATAAAAAATTTTAAAATTGGTACACTAAAAATTACTCTCTCTGTCCCATTTTGATAGTTCTATTTTTTTTTTTACACAGTTTAAAAAAAAAGTAGTTAACTTTGTTGAAAAAACAAATTTAGATTGCTATTTTCCTAAATACCCTTACATTAAATAAAGTTGGCTTTTCATATATCAATATGTTTTGGAAAATCTAAATGCATTAAATGGGATATGTTATATTCAATTCTAACAATCTATATTAAATAAAATAATTCATAATAATGACAACTTACATTAAATAAGGGTATTTTAGAGAAATTAAAAGACAACTACATTCTTCAATTGAAAAGTGAACTACAAGTTGAGACAGACAAAAAAGAAAAACATGACTATCAAAGTGGGCGTAGGGAGTAATAGTAGTAGTTATTATTATTATTGTTTTTATTATTATTATTATATGCCATACTATCCATATTAGGTAGCGAGGCATAGAAGCTAGAAGAACGATAATAGATACTAGCAGGGCGGAGCCAGAAAAAATCTTAGTGGGGGCAAAAATAATACCAAAATTTTTTATCCCCTCTTTTTCTAATTTTTTAAGCAAAAAATAAAAAATAAATTCACCAACAAGTACAAAAGAGGGAAGAAAGAGGGGCCGTCGGTTGTGAAGGGAAAATGGGAAACCAGAGGAGGAAAGGGAACTTGAGGAGTGGGGACAAAAAGGAAAGACTGATATAATTGGTACTTGGCCCTGTTGGGGGGAAAATGGGGGACCAGAGGAGAAAGTGAATGATATAAATTTTGTGACCTATTCTTTCGTATTTTTCTAAAAAATCTATGGCGACACCTTTACAATTATGTCAAAATTGTATAACTGTTATAGAAATTTAGGGGGGGCAGTGGGGCCCGTGCCCCCAGTGCACCCCTTAAATCCGCCCCTGGATACTAGTTAGACGCTATCTTTTAATACTTCAAGAAATATAAAGTTATCATTTTTAAAATAAAGGATAAATAAATTTATTTGGCAAAATACGAGACGGTTTGAACGAATTTCCTATAAAAAATTCATTTACTAAGATTTGCCAGGCTTAGTGCGTAAAATGGCCAGGAAAATGAAACAAGGTCCAAGGAAGTCATTGTTTGCAAATTAAGATAGGAGAAAACCGCGCCTGTTATTAGAAGAAAGGATCCTGCTCCAACCTTACAAGTTGAGTGTCGGCACTTGCTCAGGGGTTAATCCTAATTGGACTAATTTCACTTTATACCCTTAAACTTTTATTGCTTTTTCGCTTTGTATCTTACATTTGTATTCTGGATACTTTGCACTTTAAACTCTTAATTTTAAACACTTTCTAGCCTAAATCTTCAAGTTTATTTCATTTAGGTCCAATCAGTGACAATGTTTGGCTTTGAAGTGCTTTTGAAAGGTTAATGTAGCTTGAAGTAAATCTGCACCAAACCAAACGCCTTGGCAGTTAGCCAGCAGCTCCCCTGTTCCAAGCTTCTTTGGTTGCAACTAGAGGTGTCAAAATGGGTGATTAAGGCGGGTTTGGGTTGGTAAAATGGGTAATGGGTATAAGTGAGTCAATCCATTTATACCCATTTAATTAGATGAGTATAAATAGGTAAGTCAAAAAATGAATTGGGTAACCCAATTACCCATTTATAACTCATTTATTTTAACTTTTTGTAAATTCATTTAAATTCATATTTGCAAACTAAGTTATCAATTTATACCATCCTTTGCAACCATCATTAGTTTTAAATATTTATTTATAATGCTCAATAAACCTAATTATCAATTTTTTCCCATATGTACTCTATGTTGCAAAATTACATACTATTTAATAATTAAACAATAAGAATATAAAAATTTGAACTAAGTACTATAAAAGTTGACATGAAAACTTAATCTCAAAATTGTGAACTTATAACATTTTTTCGTGTGTAAATTTAAAATTTCATTTTGGAAAAATAAGAAAAGAGGTTAAAACTTGTCATAAATTAGTAATGCTGAAAAACGAGCGAGTTAACAAACTAAGAGAAAATAAAATGATAAGATAAAATCAACAAATAATAATAATAATGTAACAAAAGTAGTTAACATCATGACAAAATGAAAATTTTGAAAAAAAAAATGGGTGGGGAAGACGATTCTAAATGGGTTAATTGGATTTGATGTGTTACTCAATGATACCCATTTATTATTAAATGGGTATTATTGGGTCACCCATTTATACCCATATGGAAAAATTTAAGATACCCATACCCATCTATTCATGGACGGGTATGTATAAACTTGGGACCTGATTTATTACTTTTCTTTGTCTTTCTTCCCATTATAAATTTTGATCTAATACAACAATCATTTCGGTGCCTCTCACAGCCAGTTTGCACCAAGACATCATTCAATCAAGCACTACGTCATTACTGGGCCAATGCTTTATCGTAATTGTATCTAATCCTGATTCCGATGTCTCGCATCCTACCACCATTGTTTTAGATGGCGCTAATTATGGATTATGGATGCCAAGCTTTCTTAAAGGCCGCAAACTACGGTGAGTCATCATAGGGAAGCGTGTCAAGCCCACTCAAGAAAAGGAAGAATCTTCTAATAAATATACTGATAGACGGGAAGAATGGGATCTCTTGGCTAATCAATACTTCTACTCCCTCCATTAGTACCTTTTCCATAGTTTTGACAGTGCAAAAGAAGTTTGGAATTTTTTGATAGAAAGCTATACAACAACCGATTTAGCTCATCAGACTAGTATCAATTTGCCATTAAAATACAATTAATGGCACGTCAAGAGTCAGGTCGGTCCAATGACTCTTTCCACTCTCAAATGAATAATCTTTGGGAACAGTAGTTGGCTTTACATGATGACTATGAACCTATGCGAGCAAATTTTTTACACCATCATCCTTTGTCTACATTTTGATTAGTTTTAGATGAATTGATCTAAGAAGAAATTCGTCTTCATAGCATGAATTCTAAAACTACTGAAATTGTTATGGCATCCATTTCAAAATCACAAGCACAACAATTTAAAGAAGAAAAAACTCAAAAATCAAAGAAACAGTAGTGTAACTATTGGAAATTATGGGGACATAGAATAGATTAGTGCTGCAAACGCCAAACAGCTTTAAGTCAAGATGGATACAAACTTGTGTCCACTAATTAATGGTTAAAAGTCCCACTGAATTTCATGGTAAAATGCCAATTTGTGACCCATAATTAAGATTTTGTACCTTCCTTAGTACTAGTAATGTGCCACGTGTTTTGTACCTATCTTAGTACTAGTAATATGCCACGTATTTTGCACGTGGATATATTTTTTGATGATATAACATTTTTTATATGATAAATTTCTTTGCTAAATACTGATTGTTAATATAATATATTCTAAGAAACTATGACTAACAAAATTTGGAGAACTTCTTGACAAGATCTAATGGAGGGATTCCATAAGTATATTGAGGTAGAATAGCTGAAGAGTATGAAGCCGCTACAAGAACAAAGCCGCATTTGACAAGATATCTCCGGTGCACATCATTTGTATCTCCGCTTTGCTTCTCCATAAGCAACAACCCCCATAACAGTCATCGTATAGCCAGCAAGGCCAGTGAAGGTTACAGGATTGCGGAAAATAAGAATTGAGATAACCACAGCAACAGCGCCTTTCGCATTGCCTAATACCTGACAAAGTTCAGAAGATCATAATAGGACCAGAATAGCTGGAGCCATACATGCATGAACATTTGCTTCTTAGAGTCTGTGGCATAGATCCCCAAAAGACCATAGTCATTATGTTTTTAACACAGGAAGCAGGTACCCTGCAATTATGTCTTCTCATTTAACACAGTAATATTTACTTAGTGGTAGCATCATTAACCTTACTTTGCCCCAGCCCCAGCGCAATATGCTTTTTCTTTTACAGTCTATGCCTCTTACTAAGCTGCTACAGAAGAAGGCATTTTGCCAACTTTCCGAGCAGCATCGATTGTCCAGTCTATGTTTTGTTTTCTCCTATTGGTTTTGAGCAGTTACTGCTTGAAAGTTATCACAGTGTCACTTTATCATATGCTATAGAGTTAACGGCCTACCATGCCCCAGGAGATACAACCAGGTTTGCACCTACATAAGAAATTGAAAAACCCAAAACCAAAGCTGTTCCAATTTGATGAAACAACCATATGAAGGTTCAATAAAAGCACTAAATCAGCCCTAAGGAGCACCAGCCTCAAAAAAGTGAAGTATCCATGGGGTAAGAGAATAAGAAAAGCTCAAGTAGAAAAGAAAGAAAAGCATGACTATTCATGACATTTATATCATGACATGGGTATTGAGGATTAGATGATTATGACAATATTATTTGGCCAAAACTCAAGCAAGATATATATTCTTCCAGTAAATTTTATAACAAGTGCATCTACTAGACAAAGCAACTCCATCTACAAACTTGCACATCCATAGGCACACCCACAAAGAAATACACGGTACCAACCTGGAGCGTTAGTGCACTTGTATGCTTAGTCACCAAGAAATTGCATAGGTTGGCTCCATAGGCCATTGTGGAATTGAGTAAAAGAAGTATTGTCATGTATCTATGCTCTATCCCAAGCGATACTGTAACTTCCAAGACATTTGGCTCCATTATGATTGCTGCAGGCAATAAAACTACAAGAGCAATTGGGGACATATAAAGGAGCAAATTCATGGAGTTTAATTTCTCCCTGAAACAACAATGGTGAATGTATCAAAGTAAAATCAAAATATTAATTGAGGGCTGAAAAGTGCAATGCACGACTTGGACTAGAAATCAAAGCAGTATGCTCACAAGTGGCAAACAATTTAAAGAAATCCACAGAAGAAATTTCAGATTTCCAGGTCCAACTAGTAGTTCTTTGGAGGATTTGCATAAATGTGAACCAATCTCTCACTGTACCAAACCATAGTGGGTACATGCGGAGACAAAATGTGCATTAACAGTTCCGGCGCAATATGCAAGATGATTTTTAGTTGGTTATGATTGAAAAGAGAGGAAACCAAAAATAAAATCAAAGACATGCATAGCATACAGTAACAAGTTGAAAATGAAGGCAAACAAGGAGAGCAAGAATTGCTTCCACAATAAGCATAAAGGTGTAATCTCATTGCAGCAAACTCCTTTTGTGGGAAGACTATGCTTACATGTCAATCTACATAGTTTTGCATATATTTCTCATTCAGGACAACACTTGCTTTTTGTTTTTCTCACAATATTAAGGAATTGTTAACCATTGTTTGCACATTGCCAACAAAAAGCTGGCAGGTGAAGTACCAAATGCAGCAAATGTCTTACCCTTCTGAAGAAAGAAGTACGCCTTGAAGAACAGACTTAAATGCTCTAGCAGCAGTTGCACCAATGCACATAATAAATCCAAATAAATGGAACATTGGCTCTCCCTGTAACCATATAGCATAGTTTTAGTTCCACAAATTCTGAAAACACGATCAACAAGTCACCAAATTCCAGTTTTAGAAGACAAAGAATTCAGTAGATCCTAATGTATTTTAGAACAGATTGGAAAATTTATAAAGAAAACTGATAGATCTATTTACTTGCTCTGTCATCCATTCAATCGAGACATGTAATGGGTGATAAAGAAAGTATGTAGGACTTGAACCAGAATATTGACATAAAAATTGAGACAATAAAACAGCACAACTTATACGCCAAATACAAATGGAAAAGCACTTTTCATTAGCCATACCACTCTGGTTCTCAGCTTCAATCAGTCTATAAGATATGAGGGAATATATATCCATCTTCACTAGTTGAATTTAAAGCATGACTCACGCACAGCACAAGACTGTTCCTAACGCATTAGCTCTTTTTTTTTTTAACCCCATTGTTTTAGCTCTGTTCCATAACTATTCAGACCTGAAATGCCTCTTTAAATATGTATAATGCTGCACTTATTTCTTTCAAGTTTGAAACTTTTGCTTCAGCATTTTATTAGAAAATGAAGCATTTCTTTGGAGGGTTATTAGACAAATAAACCGTTGATGTGTTCCCCACCAACAGGGAAAAACTTCATCTTGAGTGTGTAGGAAGTACCCAGGTTTTTGAAATACCCTATGGCCTGAGTGCAGTGCTTCAGACTCTAAACTTGCTTTTAGATTCCCTAATTCATTCTGACACTTCACCCCAATCTTACACCTACACTTTCGGATATTGAACTTAGTCCTCAAGAATGATAACATGCATTTGACATTGACTTCCTTATAGGTTCTTCTCATTCACATGCACAAGCAACACAACACAACCATGTGACATGACACTTACCACAACTAAAGGAAAGTTATCTTTGCTTCATTTCAAAGCCTCCCTCCAGCCCAAAAATTGATCCTAAGGAAAATGTACATATGCATGCAAAGTTGCAAATCTCAAGAAGCACTGCACATGATCCAATGAATCCCACATATAATCAGCAAGTTGCATAAATATAAACTGAAGAAATGCCAGGCATGACCCAATGCTTGTACACATAACCAGAAACTACATAATCATAATCTCAAGAACGCAGTCACATGATCCGGTACTTTTAGAACCTGAACGTGACCAGAAAATTTCTGATCACGTAACTTTGAGTCAGATGCATTCTTGATTCAATTTATTCATATAAAATTACCTAAACACGTTCACAAAGTTAAGTAAAACCTAGATAAAATCTTGTATTTCCACTCAATAACTATTAGCATTTAGCCTAGAAGTCCTCAGAATTAGTATTCTAGACTTGCATAAACTTATACTCTTAAAGAGTGCTGGCATACATCAGACATTGACTTTTTGAGGTCTCTATTACTCCACATGCATAAGAAGCAAAATAATACAGCCTTCCAAGTCCACTAATTTAGTATTTGATTAAAGGCCCAAAACTTCTACAACGCAATGGGAAAAAAAAAGTAATCTTTATTTCAAATTGAAGAAACAAATGCCCGCAAAATAAGCAACTAATATACAGTAGCAACACTAACAACATCTCAGATCTGATCTTCAAATGTTAAATTGGCATCCACAGGAAACGACCTTAAAAACAAACAAACAAACAATTTAAATAGCCGAAGTTGAGCTCCAGATCAGCAGCAAATCAACGAAATATACAAAACCCACCCAAAAGATCAAAATTTTTCTGCATTAGGAAAGCACAAATCACAGTGCAATTAATTCAGATAATTAAAAAAGAAAGAAACCATGAAAATAAAATCCTTCAAAAATGGATCTTAAATGCAAAAAAAAGAAAAACATATTAAAGCGAAAATTTAACATACCCCACTGGCAATGACTACCCCACCGACGACAGGAACAAGACAGAGATAGGTAATCCAAGCTTCCCTTTTGAGGGTCATGAGATAAGCAAACAAAGCTGTGAAAAACGGTGTCGTGGCACCCACAGCTTGATTGAACGACACTGGTAAATACTTGAGAGAAATGTTGCCACCCACAACAGAGGCACAAAACACAATGCTGAGAGTTGCGATTCTGAGGAATTGGGACATTGATTTGATCCTCTGAAATGGGACAATTTTCAAGAAAACAATGGAGACATAACTGAGGAGTGCACAGGCTGCCATGTGGCACATTGTCAGGAAGACTGGGAAGGCAAAATGATAATTTGAGAGCAAGAATTTGTTAAGGAGAATGACTCCTATGTTACTCGAGTACCATAGGATAATGAGTGTTGTAATGAATAAAGCTTGCTTCTTTGATGCTGCTGCTGAGGCTGATGATGATCACATTTTCTGATCTGGGCTGGGATTATTTTATCATATGAAATTCAAGGATTTCTTTTTTCCTCTCTTCTCGTATGGGGGAAGGCGAAGGAGAAGATGGAGGTGGAAGTGGTGGAAGAGGTGAAAGTTTTCTCTTTTCTGGGCCTTTTTTTTTTTCGGTGGGCAAATATTTCTAAGCTGCGATCACCCTGTTATTTTTGGCCTTGGTTTGGGATGCAGCCATTAAGGGGTGTGTCCTCACAGTATCAATGTGATGGTGCCATGCCTAGGGGGTGCTGTTTGTGTTTTGTTGTGACTGAGCAACTGTTTGTGTGTTTTGTGTGTGATTTTATAGGTGTCATGTCATGTTGGGAGTGAAAAGTAGGATTTCTTTAAAAACAAAAAACAAAGGAGACAGCAAAACACTTCTTTTAACTGATTTGTCTAACGCGTGCTCTATTAAGATATATTTTAGGTATTATTTTTTAAAAATATAAAATTAATTAAAAAAGTAAATATAAAAAGAAGTAGGCAAAATTAAATATAAATGCAAGAGATTATAATGATTGTTAATATATATATATATATATATATATATGGTAAGTTAGGTAAATATTAAATATGTTGTCGAGGGTTCTAAGAATATCCGTTAGAAAAATTCTTTTTTTTTTAATGTTTTTGCAATTTGCACTGTGGTCTGAAATAGGGATTGAGGGAAATCCAATTATCAAGTATGGGAAATCCAATTACCATTGAATTCAAAACCAAGGGACACCAAATCCTTATTGTACGAGTGAATTGAAACAATCTTGATTTTTTTACTTTTCTTTTCCTTATACATAGTACAAATAACAAAAGCTAGTAGGAACTTTATACCACATTATCACATTTATTTATCCATGCAGATACTAATATGATGATGCTCACATTATGGTTGACTTGAATTTGGAGATATTTCCGTTCTACTACTTTTGAGTGGTGTCAAATTCTTGATTTGGAGCCTTTGTGAAATATATTGCAATCTGCCTTGGATGTGAATTAACTTCATGTGCTATAAGTTTGTGATTTATGCTACAAAAATATAGTGAATATTTGATTGTGTGAGAAGTTTTTATCCACATTAATGAGGAATGGATACAAATTAGTTGAACACAAATAAAAGAAAAACTGTTTAAATGAAAAAAAAAATGCTCTACTCTTTGGTTTTTAGAATTAACAAAGCACTAAATATATGTCCAATAACAAGATTATTGTAACGAGAAGGTGTATCTACTTGTTACCATGGCATGTTAAACATGGACTTGCATTTGGAGCCTTAATAGTTGAGGAAAAAGAGTAACAGGAACTAATTAATTTGGCAGATACTTTGTTGTTGATTTAATGCTCATTGTAATGCATTAACTACTCGCTTTCTTTGATACTGCACACGAGATATATTATTGCATTTTAGAACTCCATCTCTATTTCATGGTAAAGCAAAGGAAATTAGTTCATCATAGGAAGGGTTTTTTTAATGGTTGCCTTCATTACTGCATTTAAAATCCACGTAACTTACCATGTATATATATACATATTAATATTATTACCCTCCCTTGCATTAATATATTTTTTCGATTTAAGCTTTTCTATCTTTCCTTGTAGTTATTTATTTTCTCTAATTAATTTTATATTTTCAAAAATATGATGCCTGAAATGTATCTTAACAGGTGCCCAATACCCTTATAACAAAATAAGTTTCTTCAAACAGTTTGTTAAAAAAAAGTTCATGATATGTATTTTCTACCATTAATCCATATCTCATGAATAAAATTATGATAATTATATTATATGAAAAAAGTATTTTTTTTTTATTCCCAGATAAGATGTACTTCAATTGCTACACTTTTAGAAATATAAGATTAATTAGAGAAAATATAAGATTAATCCATAGCCTAATTCGTGCTCTTCAAGTCGTTTGAAAATTTAAATTCTACAATAAATTACAATAAAATTTTGAATAAACATCCAAAAAAACTCAAAGGGCCTTTAATTGAACTCCTTCACTGAACACTCCCCACAGGAAACTACATGGAAATGACAAAAAAGGTCATGTACGTAATTTACCAAGAGAGACGTTTGTGTCCTTTCACCAAATATAAGTTTTTTTCTATTTCAAATTGCACCATTGCCGAAGTAAAATCAAAACAAGTAAAATTTTATGGGCCACTGATAGTAACAAAACTTGACAAACCCATAATTCTGTAAGGCATATTAATAAACAAACATTGCAGGCCCCCATTAATTTATCCTTTCACTTCTTCATGCTCCAAGAAGATCCACCTCTTGTTTATTGGAATCTAGACTCGTCATCATCATGTTCTTAGTGATCCAAATAAGTTTAATTTTAATTTGGATGAATAGGAATGATTGTGAAATATAAATGATAATTTTAAAAATATTAATTATGTTTTTGCACGTTATTATCTTAGTGTGTGCTTCTATTTTTCTTAGTGCCTATATTTGTTGTTTTCTGGCCTACAATATACGGTGCAATTGATAATGACAATTATATAAGACACAGAGGAGCATACTTTGGTTTTGGTTGCAAATTGCAAACCTAAACCTTAATTTGAAGGATTAATTTTTTATACACCGATAGTGTACACACGTTCACCATTAGATGAATGATACATAAATCGAATTTGAATTTGAAACTCAAATTTTGCATATGTGTTGCATATCCAACCGTGATAATGTATACAGATATAAGATTTTCTCTGACTTGAATTATTTAGCCAGAAAATTTGAAAAAAAAAAAAATGTTTCTGGCTCAATGCACTTAGACTCCTAGAAATTTAGTCTCCAATTTTTAAATTGACAAAATTTGTTCCTTTGGTTAGAACAACATAGCACATGAGGACAATTGAGGGCTCCTAAAACTAGATTCTCATAAATACTTAGATGCCAAAATATGATTTGTGAGAGATACAATTGAACAAGGAATAATATATACGAAACCAGAGATTTTAATTCTTCTTGAATTTAACCGTATCGAAATCCCAAATTCGAAGAACATAATTTGTGTTCTCACTATGCAACTTTTATAAGGATTGAGTAGAAAGAGCAATAATTGTCTCCTCTCTAATCTTGATTATTACCTCATTTGTGGTTCTGTCCATAGTCAAAACTCGTATATCTAAAATGACCAGTTCTATTGATCTGCAAAGGGGCTATTTAGTCTAATTGCAGAAAACTGGGGGCGAACCTAAACGAAGAGACATGAAATGGCCTTGGATAGGGTATTATTTGAAATATTATTTGGAATAATTACTGTAGCACTTTTTGTGATGTGATGTATGTGAGATAAAAAGGTGGTTGGAAATATAAAAAGGTGAATTGGAAAATGTGTTTATGATACAAACGAAATAATATTTGGGATAAATTGACTATCTAAACAAAAATGATTTGTAGGATTGAAGCATAAGAAAAACTTATCATAAGACCCTGCTTTGTTTTTTCCACTTCTTTTTTTTTATTTTTGAACTTTTGTAATCACGATGCACTTTTTCTTCATAGATAGGAATCAATTGAAGCAGAAACTCTCCACCCTTGTTTTAGGAACCATATGCTGCGAGCAGCCTACTCAGACGAATAATGAGGTAAAGTTCTTTCTCTTTTTCTTTTTCTTTTTCTTTTCAAATGAGCTAAAGTTAGAAATGGATAAAATGTATATATTCCAGAGTTTAATTTGTATTGTAATCTTTCTTCAGTCCAACAACTTAGGGTTTGTTTGGTTCACGGATGAGATGAGATGGAATAATTTATTCTCTGATTAGTCGAGTCACCATGGGATCAATAATCCAAATTATCTAGTATTTGGTTAGTTTAGACTGAATAGGATATATTAAATTATAATCCTATCCTATGTTTGGTTGGAGATAGGATTACTATTTTAATGGCTAAAATGTCCCTTAATTTGTAGGATCATTTTAATAAAATAATTTAATAATTTATAACTTTTATTAGAATAAAGTAATTTGAAACTTTAGAATTATAAGTAAATCAAGGGTTTGATATATAAAAATTTGCATTCACTGAAACTCAGCCCATTTAGGCCCTAAAAAATAGGTTTTAATATAGTTTTTGAATCTAAATTTGAAATTTAATAAAATAATGGGCCAAATTTTGGCTAAATTAGGGTTAAATTGAATAAAATTTAATCCATTTAAGAGTTTTAAATGAGCCAAACTCAAGTCAATATAGAAGATTTTTCTTTGAACTAAGTTTGGGCTTATTGAAACTCTTATTCGCAAAGCCCAATTGATAAGGTAGTGTATTTATATAGAATTTGGTTGAGAAAATAAAGTTAGTAAGGGCAATTTAGTCCAAGAGCAATATAGTTCTTTTATTATGATATAAATAGGGGTAAATTTGCTTAAAAATTTCAAATTAATTAATAGGACTAAATTTGTCAAAAAATTTAAAATAATGAAAATGGACAAAATAGTTTAAAATTTTAATATGATTAGTAAGGGCAAATTAGTCTGTTTATTAATGTATTATTATGTAAGAGAATGGTTATATAATATTCATCATTCGCAAGAGTAAATTAGTTCAATATTGTTATATTGGTAGTAGGGACAAATTAGTTTAAAAATTTTAAATTAATTAGAAGGGGCAAATTAGTCCATTTATGTTATACTATCGTGTGAAAGTAAAGTTATATAATTATGAGAGTATGAATTTATATTATTTATAAGGATAAATTAATTTAAAATTTTATTATCTCATCTTCTGGTCATCCGAGAATGACTAATATCACCCCCATGGGATTATTTTACCCCATGAACTGGGGATTAATTTGGTTAATTAGGATGTGTCATCCCATGTGTAAAATACAATTAAATATGGGATGACACAAGATAATTAATCCAATTTTATGTTATTCTATAAACCAAATGGACCCTTAAGGGATTGGTCTCATTTACTTTGCACATTGATTTATAATTTTATATAACCCTAATGGCCTAATCAGGATAATGAGCTTTTTCTTACAACTAACAAACTTGGCTTTTAAGTCTCCTAAATCTTTCTTTCTTGTAGTTGTGGACTTTTGCTCTAATGTTGGCGAAGTCTCATTTTGTGAAGATCTCCATAATGTAATAAACTTTGCAAATTCCGTCAAGGACCCAAAACAAGTCTTTTTTGTAAATATGAGGGAGCACTTTATAACTTTTCATATGTGAGGAACAAAAAAAAGGACTTGTTACAAATGTGAGCGATAATTTCACTGATTTTCCCCTGAATTAATTCAATCCCAT